CCCCATCCCCTGGCTCTCTACTTGCACCCTTCATCCCAGATGCTCTCCACCCACTGTGCCCCAAGCACACTTCACATAACTTCACACAGCCCCCTTCCGCCTCCCTGCCTGACCTTCCCTCTGCCGGGATCTCTTGCCCCTGTCCTGGGCATCATTGTGTGTCAGCCCTGGTCCTCACTGGGCTCCAGGAAGGGGGCCAGAACTGCTGCTTCCAGCCAGCTCAGGACATCAGGCCCCAGGGAAGCAAACATCTTGTCAGGCTTTCTCAGACCAGGAAGGAAATGGGTTCAATTAATTCACAGTTGCCTCCCCAGATTGGAGTACAAGTGGGGAGATGGGAGAATTAACCTTTTCAAAAACGTAATTTCATAAAATCATTGCGCTCGGAACAGACTCTCTCATTATTACTATTATTTATGGCCTGTCCATGCCGTAGGCCACCAGCCACATGCAGAGATGGAGAAGGAGCAGGCAGTGGCCCCTCATAGAGAAAGGGGAGTTGGTTGAAGCCCTGGTCTTGGGGCCAGTCACATAACACAAGACCAGTGAACCCCACGGGGCACCTTCAGCTTTTTGGTAGAAGTGTCCCCGTTTTCAGATCATTGTCAAGACTGTCCAGGGAAAATCATTGCTGTTCACTCATTCCTAGTCCTGCCAACCACCAGTGCCCTGCCCTCTTCCGTGGCTACCACCGGCCAGAGCTGTGAGGACAGTCTGATGTGCAGACCTGGGAGTGCCCATATCGTAAGCTCTATCCTGCCAGGGCTGGGCCATCAGAGGATCCAAATGCCATCACTTGCTCTAGAAACAGCATTGGGTGCCCTGTGCCACCCACAGCCTGGGCTGTGCAGAGTCCTGCCTTCCTGGACTCGGCTCTTCCCTGCCCAAATGCAGCATCCCTACCTGACTTCTCTTCATCCGTCGGCCTCAGCTGTAAAATAGGGTGCATGGCATGCCCGGACAGCTGTGGCAGCATGAGGAGCAGGGTCAGGGGGTTACTGGGGTAGCCGTGGCCATGCAAGGCTTCAGAGAGAACATTGTGTTTTCCCTGGAGGAGACCTGGAGCCATGGCGGGATCTAGAGGGAGGGAAGGCAATGAGGTACCTTCTATTTGCAAAATCCATGCTCACATGTTCCAGGGCCTCATCCTCCATCCCCCGCCCCTCCGTCCTGGGACCCTAGGGGCCAAGCCTAACCCTAACTTTGTGTTCTGTGTGTATGGCTCCAAGGTGTGGGAAAGAAATGTCTATTGGCCCAGTCAAGGCCACCACCTCATGCAAGGGACCTGGTCCCCTCCCCTCAGTACTTCAGAAAGAACAGCATATGAGTCTCAAGGCCTGGCTCAGTTCCTCTGGGACTGTTTGCTGTGTGTCCTTGTAAAGTGGCACAACTTCTCTGTTTTCTACTCTAGACCTTGTGGTACGTGGTCACCTCCAGGATAACACACTCCTCTCATTTCAAAAGAGGAAAAGTGGGGAGATTTAGGCTGTGGAAATCACTGGGCAGGATCTCCCACTTGGGGGACAGGACATCACCTGGGCCCTGAAGTTGGGCGAAGCTGCGAGGCAAGGGTCCCCTCCTTCCTGCCCAGCCCCACGGCTCCACCCCTTCTGAAAACTGAACAGGAAGCACATGGAAGCTGCCAGGTTAAATGGGATCAGTATGCACGGCCCTTCAGCCAGAGACGGATCCGGCTATGTGTGTGGTTTTTAAATAGAGGTTTCTCGGAGCCGTTTGTTTTACTCAGAATGAAAAAGAATTGATTTTCTTTAGAACCACGTACTGAGGCGGGTGGGCCCCGGTATGAGCCGGTCTGGGGTTTGCAGAGGTCCAACTGATCCATGTCCGGGGTGAGTGTCTGCTACTGCGCCTTCTTTTGCAGCGATCAGGGAGAGCAGAGTCCAGGAGGGACAGTGCAGGGCCTCTGTCCCCAGCAGAGGAAGCTCCCTGCAGAGCACGGAAGGGTACAAGTGTCCTGCTCCATGCCACAAGCACTCCTTCAAAGACCCTGGCAGACCTGCTACCCTGGGCGCGCGCGAGCACTTCCGATCTAATTGTGGCTGGGCAGCCATAAGCAAACGCCAATATCTGATGGCATCGAGTCACAACAAGGGTGTCCACAAATGTAAAGCCAGCCTTGTAGGAGGGGACATTCCGGGGAGACAGCACTCATGGCAGGTGACCGTACTAGAGTCCTGGACATTGGGACCTGAACCGTGCCTGAGGGTTGGGGATAGAAATATGTCTGTGAGCGTGTTTCCCGACACTGCCAGTCCATCTGGCTTTGAGTTTCAGCTCTCTGCCGGGTACGCACCTGTGCCTGGCCCTGCCCTGAGCCCTCGACTTCAGTGGAGGAGTGACATGGGGTCGTGCTTACCCACCCTTCCAGGGGGACAAGGCTATTCCTACAAGTAAGGCCAGGCCCGCTGTGCACAGAAGACATGCGGGGTGCCGGGCAGGCTTCGAACCCAGGCCTCTGCCTTCACACTCTCATTGTGGGTGTAACTTGCTACATTGACTCTGTGCCCTGTGCAGAGCCATGTCCTGCCTTTTCTTGACTGTGAGTGGGACCTAGGGGTACCCACAAAAGCTCCCTGTTCTCTCTAGTGGCCCTGGGGTCCCTGAGCTGCCTTCTGTCCTCTTGACCTCCCTCTCTCGGTGTCTCTTGCTCAAGACCTTTGCCTGACAGTCACTTCTTCCCTTAACTAGACTGAGCCGGTACAGAAGCTGCCGTCTGGTGTCCAGTCCCTCCCCAGTTTGCCTCAGCCCACTCGGTGTCGGCACGAGAGCCCTGTCATGGTTACGTCCCAGGCTTCGGTGAGTGTCTGCCTCCAGTTTCCCAGGGAGAGTCACTTGGCCACACAAGGATGCCATTCACTGGAGCCCAGCCTGCTTCGAGACAGACCATGGTTCTGGGAAGTGACCAGAAGGTGAAGTGGACCCACTAGGGACAGGCTGCCGGCTGGTGCTGTGGCTGGTCACATGGTTACAACCCAAACTAGTTAGGGGTCCAGAGGGAGCAGAGCACAGGGGCTGGTCACATGGTTACAACCCAAACTAGTCAGGGATCCAGAGGGAGCAGAGCCCAGGGGAAAGGGGCTCGGAGGAGTCCGTGTTGGGTGCAGGGTAGGCTCAAACCCCATTCCTGGCTTTGTCCCTCATATCCAGGGTGACCTTGGTTCACTTATGTTCCTCAAATGTGAAGTTCAGGGCACTGGACTTGCTCATCCGACAGCAGACTGAGCTCTCTTTTCTCCATCTCCCATCACCACGGGAGTCTAGTAAATAAGTCACTCGTGTTATACCGAATATACGGTGACATCACGTCTGCAGAAGAAACGAGAGTGTCACCACACCAGGTCAGGGTAGACGAGAAGAGGAACTGTGCTGTGGATAATGCTATATGTAAATAAACCCTGATTGGCCAATAGCCAGACAGGAAGTACAGGCGGGACTAACAGAGAGGAGAATGGAGAAAGGAGGAAGGAGAGGGAAGACTGCCTGGAGCGGCCGCCAGGACAAGGAAGATGTAAAGTACCGGTGAGCCACGAGCTGCGTGGCAAAGTAAAGATTAATAGAAATGGGCTGAATATAAGAGTGAGAGCTAGACAATGATAGGTCTGAGCTAATGGCCAAGCAGTTTAAATAATGTAAGAGTCTGTGTGTTTATTTTATAAGTGGGTTCTGGGACTGGCAAGACTTGGCGGCGGGAGTTGGAGAGAAATTCTCCAGCTACAGAACTGGGTCCCCAGCATGCCTCAGTTTCTACTTCTACGTGGAGGAAGCTCTGCATCGACAATGCCCCAGATTTTTCCAGAACTCTGCACTGTCTACCCCCAAATTGATGCCTGGCCTTTGCAAATGGCCTTGTGTTCCCCAGGAAGCAAGGATCATGACAAAACACAAGATCCTGCCACACAGGGGACTGTTAAAAAGCCACAGAAATGCCACCTTCCAGTCTCAGGGTACTACAGCCATTTATCACCCTCACTGTGTGGATAGCCTTGAGATGCAACTGACCTTGGGGAAGGAAGGATTCCTTGTGGGGTGCTGAGGCGACCAGAGGCACTGGGGGAGGATACGTGGAGACTGAAGTTGAGGCAAGGAGGAGGCAATGATTCCATGAGTTAACAGCAGTGTGCATGTAGACCTGTGCCCACCGGAGAGTCCTGGCTGCCTCTAGGGCAGCCCAGGAAAGACCCGGGAGAGGAAGGATCATTGACATGTGCGTGGGAGATGGAGAAGAGAGGGTTTGTCACACAGAGAGAAGTAAAAGGTGTCCCTGTGCATCTAGTCTCCTTAACAATGGAGTCTCGGCTGCATCCATGGCTGAAGAAGATTGCAAGACCCAAATCTACATGTACAGGGGCCGTTGGCAGAGAAGCCAGAGGCGTGGCTGAGGACCTTGACATACACATGATGGTCTTTCTAGATAATTCCTTCGCCATGCGTCTGCTTCCATCATCTAGCCTGAGGTTATCATCTTACCCCATGTCACACAAACAAGCACGTATACTTGCTCCCAAGTACAGACACTTCCACACTTGCCATTTTAGGCGCAGTGAAATACTTAGGCACTGATCACCCTTACCCTGCTCTGAGATGTTCAGGGACACATGCGTCAGCATACTCACTAGAATCGGCCCTAGGAAAGGACAGAATGAAGTCAGCCCAGGCCCATGCTCCATGGAGCTCACATTCAGTACATCGGCTACAGAGTCACATAGACACATCCTCACACCCCTGCCTGCATGCAGCACCTAAACAGTGACTCACAAGTACTCAGACATCTCCCAGACGTCATTGAGTGCCTGCTCTATGCATCCCAGAAAGTGTAGCTAACCCGAAAGATCTACAGGCAAGTAAGAGTGACAGTATGGCCACCCTGGTCACACACAGCAGCAAAAAATAAACATGCGCAGCCTCAACCACTTCAGGCTCGCCAGGCATTCACATGCACATCGTGGACTTAAATTCAAATCACTAGTCAAGGCATGTGTGTGGTGCCCCAGAAAGCAGTTCATTTGGAATCAGGGCCCTGCCCAAGTCCAAAGCCAGGTCTATGAGTTGTCCCTCTCTGGACCTGGCTACATCTCTCCTTTTACCGACAAATCATCTTTGCCCCTCCCCATCAGGTCCCTGGATTTATCAAAGTGCCAGAGGCTTCCTGCCTGCATCCTTGAGTGTGTCTGGCCCGACCCAGTACTGCTCCAGATGTCCCCCAGACTCCCCTCAGTCAGGACAGGAGCCAAGTGCAGGCCCAGCCACCTGGGGTTTTTGCTGAGACATTATATTGCAACAGAGTCCGTTCCTTCCAGACCTTTTTTTTTGGTTCTGCTTTTGCTTTTAAAGAATCAGAAATAACTTGGCTGTAAAAATGTGCTTTGGGCAGAAAGCAGACTCCCAGGGTCAGAGCCCAGGAGAAGATTTTTGCTACACAGTTTCAGGGAAAATAGCAGGCACTCAGCAGTTTCGATTCTTCAAGGGATGGAGAGAAAATACAATTGGAGTGGATTTAGGGCTGCACAGGGCTCCTCTCTAGGCCCAGGCACACTCTGTGTTTTCTTTTGCCCCTGCTGGAGGGCATGGCACTGGGCAGAGGGAGCAGAGCGGGCAGAGGGGAGGTAGGAAGTTGGATTTGCTCTTGTTCTACACAGGAGACCACACACGCCAGACGCCCCAGGAAGAAAGTTGGTCAGGGTTGTGGTTTTGGATCTTGACCCTCAGTTTGCAGCCGGGCCATGCTTTCTACCACCTGCCATGTGTGGGAGAGGTCCCATGACTTCCAGAGCAAAGGAGGGCTTCTGAGATCGGGTGGGATTCGGTTACCTGGTAGCTGTGTGACCTTGGGAAAGGTGAGTTGCCTGGACTCCCTCCCTCTCACTGTGAGTTGAAGTGCTCACGGGACAGGTTCCCCAGCAAGTGCTCAGCCCAGGCTTGGAATATCGTGACATGTGCTAAACCTGTCTCCTGCCAACATTAACCACGGGGAGCCACCAGTCATCCTAGGAGTGGAAGCAGGTGCTAGGAAAGGTCCTATGTTGGAATTCCCTTGAATCCAGAGCCACCTTCCCACG